GGGCAGTCGACTGAGACCTTGTCACTAAAAAAAAAGGCTCAGCCATCCTAAGCTGCTTCCAGCTGCCTGCCCCTCTGGGTGGCCCCCATGCACTTTATCCCCGCCAGGGCCTGGGGAGTCCTGGGGAAATCTAGTCCTCAGGAGAAGCCGCCCAGTGAGCAGCAGGGCCCGAGTAAGGAGGCTACTCCCTCCGCAGCCCCTGGGCTCCCTTCCCCAGAAACACCAGCAGAGGGTCGGCGTGGTGTGAATTCGTGACCTACACACCGCCTGCCAGTAAGGACTAAGTGGCTAGACCCTCGGGCTGTCCCATCACCGCCCTCTGGGGCTCAGGCAGGTGCAGGTGTGGGCGCCCACCCTGTTTGGCCTCTTTCCACCTGGGTGGCTTCAGACACAGGACAGACTCCTCAGGAGGGGTATGCTTCTCATTGGAGATGCCAGGATGACCCTCCAGGGGTTATTGGTATCCACGTACTGCCCCTGATCCTGAGCAAGACCACCCTAACCTAGGGAAGGTTTGGGGGCTTCACTGCTGAAGTTCAGACTCCAGGGTGGTCCTTATCGTGCGTGCCTCAGTTTCCCCATCTGTAAAATGGATGGTCCTGGGGACTGGAACCTTATCCCACCTCAGCAGGGCTGGGCTGAGCCATCAGCAAGCCTCTGGCCTGTCTCCATCATCCAAGAAAGAGCTGGTGGCCAAAGGGGCAGCTCTCAGAGGGAGAACAAACGGGGGGCAGGGGTGGGGCTGGAGGCCACGGGCCTCATGCTGTCCTGGGCATCCAGCCAGCGCCGGCAGTGAGTCAGGGACCAGGCATGCGGAGTGGGGCCTCTCCCGGCCCGGAGATCAGGCACCTCCCGGAACCCGCCTGCTGGGTCCCCACCAGGCCAAGTTCCTCTCCAACTCCCTTGACCCATAGAGGGGACCCTGGGCCTGCCTGCGGGGGATGGGGATGGGAATGTGGGTAGTGGGCAGGGCCCCTTTGAGACCCAGCACAGGCTCCGTGATGTGACCATCTCTTCCTTGGGGAAACTGAGGTCCAGACTGCTGGGATGGAGGATAGGGAGTGACAGAGCAGGGCAGTGGCTCCTTGGCCCCCTCTGGGAATAAAGCCAGGCCATTCCTGTGGGAGGGAGCCCCAACCCCAGGGTAGAGGGGGTGTGGGCACTGGGCCAGGGGTACAGTTAAGCCCCAGCTCCCAGAATCCTCACCACAGTGGCCCCCCTGCCCCCACGCCTGCTTTCTCTCCAGGGCACTCGGAGCTGCAGTTTGCAGGACCAGAGGGAAATGTTCCCATCCCCTCAACCCCAGGACTCCCAGCCGTGGGCTGAGGGGACTGGCTGGTGGTAGCATCTCCTGTCCTGAGGAATGACCGAGGTGGTGACAGCAGCACTCAGCCAACCCTGATACCCGACTTGCAGACTGGTCCCTGCCTGGGGCTTCCAGGCACGCAACAGGTTTTTCCTTTGAGACAGTCGCGCTCTATGGCCCAGAATGGAGTGCAGTGGCGCGACCTCGGCTTACCGCCACCTCTGCCTCCTGGGTCCTGGTTCAAGCAATTCTCCTGCCTCAGCCTCCCGAGTGGTTGGGATTACAGGCATGTGCCACCACACCCAGCTAATTTTTGTATTTTTAGTAGAGACGGCTTTCACCATGTTAGCCAGGCTGGTCTCAATTTCTTGACCTTGTGATCTGCCCGCCTCGGCCTCCCAAAGTGCTGGGATTACAGGTGTAATCAGATCCCTCTTTTCTACGTTGATCTCCCTAGAGGCTACCAGTTCAGCCTTCTCACCGAAGAGCTCCTAGGGTCACCTCAATGAACCATTTCAGCGTCCACCTGATGTACACAGATGCTGTTAAAGCTGTTCCGTCTGCCTAAAAACGCCCATCTCTGATGACAAATGAACTGCAGCTGGGTGGGGGCGTGCCCAGAACTTTGGGAGGCCAAGGTGGGCGGATAATACCGTCAAGAGATCGAGACGGGGTCACGTCGTGGCTGGCCGGGGAAATGGGGCCCTGAAGGAGACAGCGGGACTTCGGGCAGCGGAGGCAGCACAGAGGAGGCATTTATGACCTTCTACAGGGAGGTGAAACAAATAGAGAAGAGAGACTCGGTTCTAACATCCAAAAATCAGACTGAAAGACTGACCCGTCCTGGTTCCTCTTACTTCAATTTGAACCCATTTGAGGTTCTTCAGATAGATCCTGAAGTTACAGATGAAGAAATAAGAGGTTTTGGCAGTTATCCGTACTGGTGCATCCTGACAAAAATCAAGATGAGGCTGACCGAGCACAAAAGGCTTTGGAAGCTGTGGACAAAGCTTCCAAGTTGCTACTGGATCAGGAGCAAGAGAACAGGGCCCTGGATGTAATTCAGGCAGGAAAACAATACGTGGGGCGCACTGTGAAAGAGCGAAAAAAACAAAGGAAGGAAAACCCACGACTGTAGAGGAGGATGATCCTGAGCCCTTCAAACAAGCTCTATGTAAACAGACAATGAAACTCTTTGCTGAGCTGGAATAAAAGGAGAGAGAGAGAAGCCAGGGATGCATGAAGGAAACAAAGGGAAGAAGAGATCGAAGCTCAAGGAAAAGCCAAACGAGAGAGAGTGGCAGAAAACTTTGAGGAAGGTCGAGACGGTCGTGTAGACCGCTGGCGGAATTTCCAAGCCAATACAGAGGGGAAGAAAGAGAAGAAAAACCGGACCTTCCTGAGACCACCAAAAGTAAAAATGAGCAGCGCGAGTGGCCGCCCAGGGTCACAGGCACAGGACCGTCCCCTGCTGTCTCCCTTCCTGCTTCGAAGGACTCATTCTTTCCTCCCACTTCCTCCCCAGCATGGAGTAGTATTTGCTTTGTAGTCCATTTTGTTTTCAATACAATTTAATATCGATCAGAGTAATTCTTTTGTACATTGATGCGAGGGGCTTGGTTTAAAAAGACCTTCTCCTCTCCCTGCCCCCAGAACCACCAGGACTGGACGGTGCCACCAGTGGTGCTGCCTTCTCTTCCCACAGCCTGTAACTTAATGTTTTGTACTTCACTGAATGGTGATGGTTAGAAACTTCGTGGACAGTTTGTGGAAGTCATCCAATGAAACACATCGCTTAAAATGGTGTTGCTGTGACTGCAGAGACAGGCCTGGGGCACCTTAGGAAGCCCCTCCGCTTCAGGTGCCCGCTTTTGGGTGTGCTCCCTTTGAAGGCCCAGATGAGACGGGGAACACTTGTGGGCACTCAGAGCAGGTCCCGGCTGCCCTGGTGCCCTGTGGCGCTCGGCATGTGCCCTCCCGTCTACTGACCCATCAGCGCGGCATGAGGCCCACGCCACCCGAACCTTTCACTTTCCCAAGAGCCGGCCGTCCTCCGCCCAGTGCCGTGGTGTCACAGCCTGTCGCATTTGTTAGTGGTAATATTCTTCATGTATAATAAATTTTTATAACCCCCCCCCCAAAAAAAAAGAGATTGAGACCATCCTGGCCAACATGATGAAACCATCTCTACTAAAAATAACAAAAATTAGCCAGGCATGGTGGCGTACACCTGTAATCCCAGCTACTCGGGAGGCTGAGGCAGGAGACTCGCTTAAACCCAGGAGGCGGAGGTTGCAGTGAGCTGAGTGAGACTGTGCCACTGCATTCCAGCCTGGCTAGAGAGCAAGACTCAGTCTCAAAAAAAAAAAAAGGCCGGGCGCGGTGACTCATGCCTGTAATCCCAGCACTTTGGGAGGCCAAGGCAGGTGGATCACGAGGTCAAGAGATCGAGACCATCCTGGCCAACATGGTGAAACTCCATCTCTACTAAAATTAGCTAGGCATGGTGGCCCGTACCTGCTGTCCCACCTACTCGGGAGGCTGAGGCAGAATTGCTTGAATCTGGGAGGTGGAGGTTGCAGTGAGCTGAGATCGCACCACTGCACTCCAGCCTGGCACCTGGTGACGGAGTGAGACTCTGTCTCAAAAAAAAAAAAAAAAAAAAAAAACCCGCACTGAAACTTAGTTGTGGAAAGGGACATGATGAAACCCAAGCCCAAGTTCATGGAACGAACCCATCCAAGGGCAAAGCTGTATCTGGGGGCGGCTGTGTCAGTGGGACTCCACGTCCCTCTCTCCTCTCTCAGGCAGGCAGGTGGAGTGCAAGCCTCCTCTCCTTAGTGATACCCCAAACGCTAAGGAGAGGGGAATGGTGAACACATCAATTGGCTGGCTCTGGACTAGAGTATGTGTTCAGTTACGGTTTATTTTGCTGTCATAGAAAACCCCCAAACCAGCAGCTTACACAAGGCAGAAGTTGAAGTTGGTTCTTCCCCTTCTCTCCCCTATTGTTTTTTTTTTTTTTTTGAGACAGAGTCTTATTCTGTCTCCAGGCTGGCGTGCAACGGCGTGATCTCAGCTTACGGCAAGCTCCGCCTCCCTGGTTCAAGCGATTCTCCTGCCTCAGCCTCCCAAGTAGCTGGGATTATAGGCATGTGCCACCGCACCCAGCTAATTTTTGTATTTTAGTAGAGATGGGCTCTCACCATGTATGCCAGGATGGTCTCAATCTCCTGACTTCATGATGTGCCCACCTCAGCCTCCAAAAGTGCTGGGATTCACGCGTGAGACACTGCGCCTGGCCTCTCCCATTTGCATAAGTCTGTGCTGATTACCTGGCTCTGCCGTCACCAGGGAAGCAGACTTCCGTCATCCCCACAGGACTGCACTCCTCTGCACACGTGGCTGTATGGCTGCCAGGGCTCTAGCCATCACGCTCAAATTCCAGGAAATAGGAAGGGGGAAGCAAGGGTGCACTTGTCTTTTAAGAATCCTTCTAGGCCAGGTGTGGTGACTCACACCTGTAATCCCAGCACTTTGGGAGGCTGAGACAGGTGGACTACTTGAGGTCAGGGGTTCGAGACCAGCTGGGTCACAATGGCGAAACCCCCTCTCATTATTAAAAAAAAAAAAAAAAAAAAAAAAAAAAATCCTTCTAGAAGCGTCATTTGACAGTTCCATGTACATTTCACTGGCTGGACATTAACTACAAGGGTGCTGGGATGTGTTGTTTTAACTGGGCAGCTAAAAGGACTCCCTTTATGAAGGAGGGAGGGGAGAACGAGTGACAAAAGACACATCTCATGGTCTCTGACACAGAGTCCACCCTGGAGCCAGAGATGGGCTCCTCTGTAAGCCACAGGACCCGTGAGTCCCCAAAGGAAAGCCTAAGTGGTGGTATCCACCACACCAACAGGTCACAGGGAAAAATGGCCATGGCTGAGCTCCTGTCCCTTCAATTACGTCCCACCCCTCACAGCCCTGTCCCTTGCTTAACTCCCAGCTCCTCTCGGGTACCCTGCTTCCTCTGTCTCTAACACCTGTGGGAGCTGAAACGGATCTGATGGTGGCAGATGCCCGCTGGGTGCAAGATGCAGCAAAGAGGCTCCTGGCTACCACTTGGTGTCCACCAGGCTCCAGAGGTAGTCGCTGATGAATTTCTTGGAGAGCTGGGTGCTGTCAAGGTGGATGGGCTGGGCCACACTTGGGCCATGATGGACTGAGGCACAGATGTAAGGAAAGCTCAGGACACAGCCCCTCACACAACCCTACGGGGAAAAGGACAGTGCCTTTACTTTTTGTTTTTGAGACAGAGTTTCCTTCTTGTTGCCCAGGCTGAAGTGATTCTCCTGCCTCAGCCTCCCAGAGTAGCTAGGATTACTGGCATATGCCACTATGCCCCTGGCTAATTTTATATTTTTAGTAGAGATGGGGTCTTTCCATGTTGGTCAGGCTGGTCTTGAACTCTCAACCTCAGGTGATCCACCCGCTTCAGTCTCTGAATGTGCTGGGATTACTGGAGTGAGCCACCACGCCCAGGATTTTTCTTTTTTCTTTTTTAAGACAAAGTCATTCTGTTGCCCAGGCTGGAGTACGATGGTTCAATCTCAGCTCACTGTAACCTCCACCTCCTGGGTTTAAGCGATTATCATGCCTCAGCCTCCCGAATAGCTGGGACTACAGGCCCATGACACCACACCTGGCTAATTTTTGCATTTTTAGTACAGACGGGGTTTCACCATGTTGGCCAGGCTAGTCTTAAACTCCTGACCATCAGGTGATCCATCCGCCTTGGCCTCCCAAAGTGCTGGGATTGCAAGCGTGAGCCACAGCACCTGACCTGCCTTTACTATATATTTATCATAGACAGAAGGGTCTCAGTACTACCCATGCTGGTCTCAAAATTCTGGCCTCAAGTGATCCTCCCCCCTCAGCCTCCCAGGTAGCTGGGACTACAGGTGCACACCACCACGCCCGGCGAATTTTTTTTTTTTTTTTTTTGAGACAAAGTCTCACTCTGTCACCCAGACTGGAGTACAGTGGCAAGATTTCAGCTCACTGCAGCCTCTGCCTCGCAGGTTCAAGTGATTCTTCTGCCTCAGCCTCCTCAGTAGCTGGGATTACAGGCGTGCACCACCATGCCTGGCTAATTTTTGTATTTTCAGTAGAGACAGGGTTTCACCATGTTGGTCAGGCTGGTCTTGAACTCCTGACCTTGTGATCTGCTCACCTCGGCCTCCCAAAGTGCTGGGATTACAGTGGTGACCATCGCACCCAGCCCGACACCTGGCTAATTTTTACAGGGTCTTGCTATGCACCATTTTACCTCCCTACCTAGCATAAGGGTTACAATGTCTCCCAAAAAGGATACTGCCTTTGATCATCCCTGGCTCACACTCGTAATCCCACTCGATTTTACTAATTTGGTGGTAAAGTTGAGCCACGTACCTATACAAGAGGCCAAAAAAAAAAAAAAGAAAGTTACCCAGCCTGCCTTCAGCCAAGAGCCGGACTGAACAAGTGAACAAGGAGGCACAGGCGGGCGCATGCTTTGGCGGAACCTACACAGCTGAGGGGATTGTGACTGTCGTATCCTCGTCGACCTCCTTCTTCTGTCGTTCCAGATCCGCCTCGATCTCCTTGAGCTCCTCCAGCTCTCTGGTGAGCTGCGTAGGGCAGGTAGTTAAGGACTCCAGCTTTTGAGAGGGAGCTGCCCCTGCGTTCAGTGCAGCCAGGAGGCCGAGGCCTCAGCTCTACACACTTTCTTCTCTGAGTCAGAGTCTTGCTCTGTCACCCAGGCTGGAGTGCAGTGGTGGGATCTTGGCTCACCGCAACCTCTGCCTCCCAGGTTCAAGCAATTCTCCAGCCCCCGCCTCCTGAGTAGCTGGGATTACAGGCACCCACCACCATGCCTGGCTAATTTTTGTATTTTTTGTAGAGAGGGGGTTTCACCATGTTGGCCAGGCTGGTCTCGAACTCCTGACCTCAGGTGATCCACCCACCTCAGCCTCCCAAATTGCTGGGATTACAGGTCTAAGCCACCTCGCCCAGTCTTTCTTTCTTTGTTTTTGAGACAGGGTCTGGCTCTGTCACCCAGGCTGGAGTACAGCCTTGATCTCCCAGGCCCAAGCAATCCTCCCACCTCGGCCTCTCAACTAGCTTAGACTATAGGCACGCACTGTCACACCCGGCCAATTTTTTACTTTTGTAGATACGGTCTCTGTTTCCCAGACTGGTCAACTCCAAGGCTTCTCAAATGCTGGGATTACAGGTGTGAGCAACTGAACCTGGCCCAATGCAGGTTTTTGGTTTGGCTCTATTGCCCAGGCTGGAGTGCAATGGTGCCGTCTCAGCTCACTGCAACCTCTGCCTCCTGGGTTCAAGTTACTCTCCTGCCTCAGCCTCCTGAGTAGCTGGGATTACAGGCACCCGCCACCATGCCTGGCTAATTTTTTGCATTTTTAGTAGAGACGGGGTTTCACTGTGTTAGCCAAGATAGTCTGTATCTCCTGACCTCATGATCTGCCCGCCTTGGCCTTCCAAAGCACTGGGATGACAGGTGTGAGCCACTGTGCCTCACCCAATGCATGTTTTCCACCAAGGCTGACTCTTTTGCAGAAAAGGATATAGGAGGCTGGCCTTCAGCTGGGTGTCCTCCTCCCTGGCCTCCTGAAGCCCAGCTTCCAGCTGCTGCAGATCCACACCACCCTGGTGCATCTGCTCCTTTGCGCTGAGAAGGCTCTCGGCCACTTCCTTCTCCATGGTGAGGATCTCTGCAGCGTGGAGAGAAGCAGGCTCCCTAGGGTCCGTCCTTCCCCAGGGTGGGTAGAGAGAAGGTGGGTCGCCACCTCCACTGGCAAGAAACATGCCCCTTCCTGCCTGCAGCCCTGAGTCCAGAGAGTTCCACTGGCAACTTGTACAACTACTATTTCATCAAAACACATTGAAATACACCAAAAATAAAACCTGGTCCTTCTTCACACACCCGAAATGATTTATAACAATATAGTTGGCTGGGTGTGGTGGCTCATGCCTGCAATCCAGCACTTTGAGAGGCCAAGGCAGGAGGATCCCTTGAGCCCAGGAGTCTGAGACCACCCTAGGCAATGTGGCAAAACCCCATCTCTACTAAAAATATAAGATTAGCTGGGCGTTGTGGTGTGCACCTGTAGTCCTAGCTACTTGGGAGGCTGAGGTGGGAGGATAGTCTGAACCAGGGAGGTCAAGGCTACAGTGAGACATAATCGTCCTAACTGTGCCACTACATGCCAGCCTGGGCAACTGTACGAGACTCTATCCCAAAAACCCAAACCAAACCACTAACAAAAAAAAAGAGGCTACTGGTTCCTTCCTAGAAACCCGCCGACTCAGAGAAGGCAGGTTAAATGATTCCCAAAGGGCCCATGTTTAAGTTTTTAGAAACGTACATTATTTTTTTTAAAAGCCAGTCAAATGTAGCAGTGGGGGGTTTATGTTATTTTTAATCACAGTACGACATGTACATGGTTCTGAAAACATAAACACAGATGCACACACCCTTCTCCAAGCCTCTCCACCCCTCCAGAGCAGCCACTTTCAAGTCGTAGCTGTTTTCTCTGGCACTGGCCTCCACATTTCTAAACAACTTGCTTATGCTGCTATTTCTTGATGGGTCTGGTTCGGACGGTGCCTGCTGATTTCCTGTTGGGACAGCTGAGGCTCCAGCCGGCTCACACAGCCTTCCCACCCGCTATCTGTTCGCCCTCCCAAAGACAAACAAGTCTTTCTGGAGTCTTCCCTGAGTAGTAATCTCTACCCCACAGCTGTTCATTATTAAGGTGCTCCTACTTGACATATTCTCATACAACTCTTTTAGGGGGTACTTTTTATTTTATTATTATTGAGATACAGTCTCCCTCTGTTGCCCAGGCTGGAATACAGTGGCGCAATCTCAGCTCACTACAACCTCTGCCTCCCAGGTTCAAGCAATACTCGAGTCTCCACCTTCAGAGTAGGTGGAATTACAGGCATGTGCCACCAAGCCCAGCTAATTCTTGTATTTTTAGTAGAGCTGGAGTTTCACCAAGTTGGCCAGGCTAGCCTCGAACTCCTGACCTCAGGTGTTTTACCTGCCTTAGCCTCCCAAGTGCTGGGATTATAGGCGTCAGCCACTGCACCTGGCCTATTTTTTTAAACAGTCTTGCTTTGTCACCCAGTCTGGAGTGCAGTGGCATGATCTTAGCTCATTTCAGCCTCCATCTCCCAGGTTCAAGCAATTCTCCTGTCTCAGCCTCCGAAGTAGCTGGAATTACAGGCATGTGCCACAATGGCCAGCTAATTTTTGTATTTTTAGTAGAGAACATGTTTGACCATGTTGGCCAGGCTGGTCTTGAACTCCTGGTCTCAAGTGATCCACCACCTTGGCCTCCCAAAGTGCTGGGCTAACAGGCATGAGCTGCCCCGCCGCCCTGTGCGGGTACTTTAACTCTCTGCCCCACATCTGGGACATGAGAAAAACAGCTCAGAGAAGTTCAGTGAGTCGCCTACAGGTACACAGCGCCAGACCTAGGATGTGAACTGCATATGTTTGACTCAAAGCCCAGGATCCTGGACCCGGACTCTCCGTTTCCTTGGCCCCAGATTCATCCATTCTGCTAAGGCCAGGCTGGCTGAGTCACACTGTTCTCCCAGGCCATCAGAGGAGGGGGAGTTTGTTGGGAACCAGCCCAACCCTGTAGGTGGGTGCCCTGTGTCCTGGTGGTGATGAGAGAGTGAGAAAAGAAGACAGAGACAAAAGTTCACAGCATGGGTCCAGGGGTCCCAGGCACTCTCACGCGGGTTTGGGTGCATTACCTTGTTAATCTTGCAGGCTGGGGGGAGGGGAGTTAGGAAGGAAGATTGGGGGATGGTGGGGAGAAGCATGTCTCTGCAGCATTCAATAGCAACTGTGGTTCTTCTAAGAAATGCTAACTAAGGACACTGAGTTTCTGCCACCCATTGCCTATCCAGGTGCGCTGGCAAGAGACAGCTGATAAGGCACCATAAGGTCTGAGCACATGCAATGCATCCAGGGGCTTTTATCTCCTGAGCATGGTGGACACAGAGCAATCAGAATTGCTCCACATTCTGAGAACATAGAGCGCGTGGAGTTCCGGTTATCACCGCCCTGGAAGGCCTTCCGGCCTCGCAAGCTCCCATCTGCAAAGACCCTCTGGGTCTGGAGAGCACAGATTGCATTCCTTCCCAGAGTTCTTGCACAAGCCCTCTTTATACGAGACCCTCACGCAGACTATGTTGGGAAGAGACGTAGGACCAGAGCAGTTTTTCCTGCTCTGCAACCACACCACAGCTTCCGCGGTTATAGCGCTCCCAGATGGTCTTTACTATAGGACCCCTGTTACCACTTGATCTCTGCTTTTATTTTACTGTGCCATAGTTTGGAGTTTTCTTAATTCAATATTTGATCCATGGTACAAATCTCAGTGTAAAAAAGCAAAGCAAGCTTGTAGTCATTTAACTATAAGTAACACAGTTCTGGCCCTGGCCATCTTTTCCAATGGAGGGGTGGAAGGAGGAAGAGGGAAGAGGCTGCCCGGGACATCACACTCAGGGTAACATTCAGACTCCTCCCGGGCACTCCCCAGGCCTGGCAGTCATGCGGCAGCTGAGCTCACCTTCTAACACTCCCTTCTAATGGCCAAGTTCATTCTCACCTCCTGACCTTTGCATTTGCAATCCACACTGCCAGGAACACAGGCTAGAACATGAATGAACATAGAGGACCTTAGGCTCAGTGAAATAAGCAGACACAAAAGGGTACGGTATTGTATGACTCCACTATGAAGGGTAGATGTTAGGGAGTCAAATTTGAGACAGTAAGTAGCAGGTGGGTGCCACGGTCTGAGACAGGGATGGAGAGTGAGTGTTTGTTTCATGGGGAGAGAGCTTCCGTTTGTAAAGATGAGAAAGTTCTGGAGATGGATGGTGGTGATAGCTGCACAACAGTGAGAACGTGCTTAACGCCACTGAGCTGCGCACTTAAAAATGGTGAAGATGGGCTGGGCATGCCTGTAGTCCCAGCACTTTGGCAGGCTGAGGTCAGGAGATAGACACCATCTTGGCCGACATGGTGAAACCCCGTCTCTACTAAAAATCCAAAAAAATAGCTGGCTGTGGCGGCGCGTGCCTATAGTCCCAGCTACTTGGGAGGCTGAGGCAGGAGAATCACTTGAACCTGGGAGGTGGAAGGTACAGTGAGCCAAGATTGTGCCACTGCACTCCAGCCTGGTGACCCAGGGAAACTCTGTCTCAAAAAACAAAACAAAACAACAACAACAAAAAACCCACACACACACAAAGATATTGGTTAGCCCAGATTTTTTTTTTCCTCTTTAAAGTAAGTCTCTTTTCAAAAAAATTAATCCTCCTTTAATATAAAGTAAGTCTTAACATTCAATGGCATCTTGGATGCATGAAAATGGTCCCCCCCCCCTTTTATTTTAAGGTGGAATTTCGCTCTTGTCACCCAGTCTGTAGTGCAATCACATGATCTCAGCTCACTAAGACTTCCACCTCCCGGTTCAAGTGATTCTCCTGCCTCAGCCTCTCAAGTAGCTGGGATTGCAGGTGCCCACCACCACGTCCCCCTAATTTTTGTATTTTTAGTAGAGACGGGGTTTCACCATATTGACCAGGCTGGTCTTGAACTCCTGACCTCAGGTGATCCACCCACCTCGGCCTCCCAAAATGCTGGGATTAGAGGTGTGAGCCAGGACACCCGGCCCCAGGTTTCTTTTTAAGAGACATTATCGTGGCCGGGCGCGGTGGCTCAAGCCTGTAATCCCAGCACTTTGGGAGGCCGAGGCGGGTGGATCACGAGGTCGAGAGATCGAGACCATCCTGGTCAACATGGTGAAACCCCGTCTCTACTAAAAATACAAAACATTAGCTGGGCATGGTGGCGCGTGCCTGTAATCCCAGCTACTCAGGAGGCTGAGGCAGGAGAATTGCCTGAACCCAGGAGGCGGAGGTTGCGGTGAGCCGAGATCGCACCATTGCACTCCAGCCTGGGTAACAAGGGCGAAACTCCGTCTCAAAAAAAAAAAAAAAAAAAAAAAAAGAGACATTATCTTGCCCTGTTGCCCAGGCTGGTGGTGGAGGGCAGCTCAATACAATCCCCAACTTCTGGGCTCAAATGATTCTCACACCTCAGCCTCCCAAGTAGCTGGGATTACAAGTGGGAACCACCATGCCGGGATAATACTTTTTTATTTTCAGAAGAGATGAGCTATCAGCAAGTTGCCCAGGCTAGTCTCCAACTCCTGGTCTGAAACAATCCTCCTACCTTTCCTCCCAAAGTGCTGGAGTTAGAGGTGTGAGGCCTCCTTCAGGCTTCTACTCAAACATCATCTTCACAGAAAGTTTCCCCCAAAACTTCACCACTCCGCCTACACAACCTAGTTTTCCTCCTTGTGATCCACCTGCCTCGGCCTCCCAAAGTGCTGGAATTGCAGGTGTGAGCCACCGCGCGGGACCGACAAATGGATTTGTCTTGTTAATCCTGCTCCCTCTCCCAGGCACTAGAATGCATGTCAGTCCCCTAGGACAAAAATTTTGTCTATTTTGTTCCCTGCCGCCACCCAGGGCCTGGCGGCAGCAGGTGCTCCATAAAACACCTGAATGCTAGTGCATTCTTCTCAGGAAGAAGGGGTGGGCTATTTTCACAACGATTTGACAAGGAAGGAAGCTGAGGCACAGAGCAGTTAAGAAACTCACTTCAAGTCTCACAGAGGACGTGAGGATGGGTGCTGGGATTCAAACCCGGCGCTTTGACTCCTAAGCCCCAGTTCAAACCCTGAGACTCCCAGCTCCTGCTCACGGAGCGCTCAGAAGGGATCAACCCCTCCGGGCTCCTATATTTACCACTAAACCTCTGGGGGGGGCGGGGGATGGTTGCTGTCATAAAGCCGATTTCGCAGAGGGGGAAACTGAGACTCAGAGGGAGCCGTTCCAGGGGAAGAGGGCAGGAGATGGTAGAGTCCAGGAGAAAAGGGGTTTTGAGGTCGGCCTGGTCGCCCCCTCCCAGCACCCGGGCCCTGTACCCCCCGGCCCGCGCCCGCGCTCCAGCCCTCACCATGCAGCTGCTTCTCGGCACCGTCTTGCGTCTCCAGTAGCCGCTCCACCACCTGCTCGTGGCGCCCCAGCAGCCGTCGCTGCTGAGCCTCGGCGCGATTGGTGCCCAGCAGGCTGAGCAGCCCCTGGCTCACCTCCTCCATGTCGCGGAAGGCAGCCATGACTACCCCAGTCCCCAACCCGCGCAAATTTGACTGCCCGAGGGGCCCGCCCACTTCCCAGAGAGTTTGCTTTCCATTGGCTTTTTTCTACGTCAGTCGTAAGCAATGGCCAATAGGCATAGGGAACGGCGTCCCAGAATGCGGGAGGCCGCCTTGGGTCTGGCCTGGTGCGCCTGCGCCCAATCATCCGTCAGTCATCCGAGATGACCAATCGGCGCAAGAAGGGGGAGTCTCCGTTATCCCGCCCGATGCGCCTGCGCGGGGTGGAAATAAGCTGTTTATTTGTCCTTAAGTCGAGCGCCTTCTCTGTAGAGAGAGGGGTTCTAAGGGCAAAACAGAGAGCAGCTTCTCCCGGAACTTACATCCTACAGTGTGTGCGTGGGATACACACAATAAGCATAGAGAATGAGTAGATTCTATGACAGGCTGCATAGCAGAATGGCGTCTGCAGCCAGATTTACTGGGTTCGAATCCCAGCGTTGCCACCTAGTAGCCGTGTTATCCTAGGCAGACTTCACCCCTCTGTTCGGTACTTTCCTCCTTAGTAAGACAGGGTCATACTAGTGCCTATGTCAGGGTTGCCGTGAGGATTCTTCTTATTACTTTTTTTGGGGTAGCGGTTAGGGTATTGCTCTGTGGTCCAGGCTGAAGTACAGTGGCACAATCGTAGCTCATTGCAGCCTCGACCTCCTGGCCTCCAGCAATCCTCCCACCTTCGCCTTCCAAAGTGCTGGGATTACAGGCATAACTCCACCTAGACCACCTGGCATGAGGATTAAATGAAGATAGTGCCTGGTATTCAGCAGGTGCTATATAGTTGTTTAATGAAACATAGAATCCTAGCACGCAGCTGGATGCAGTAGCTCACACCTGTAGTTTCAGGTCTTTGGGAGGCTAAGGCAGGAGGATTGCTTGAGCCCTAGAGTTTGAGACCAGCCTGTCTTAGAAAAAACAAAACAAACAAACAAAAAAAGATCAGTGCAGTGGTGCCACCTTGGCTCACTACAACCTCTGCCTTCCAGGTTCAAGTGATTCTCTTACATCAGCCTCCGGAGTAGCTGGGATTACAGGCACACGCCACAAAAATATACCTAATTTTTTTTTTTTGAGACGGAGTTTTGCTCATTACCCAGGCTGGAGTGCAATGGCACGATCTCGGCTCACCGCAACCTCCGCCTCCTGGGTTCAGGCAATTCTCCTGCCTCAGCCTCCTGAGTAGCTGGGATTACAGACACGTGCCACCATGCCCAGCTAATTTTTTTTGTATTTTTAGTAGAGACGGGGTTTCACCATGTTGACCAGGATGGTCTCGATCTCTTGACCTAGTGATCCACCTGCCTCGGCCTCCCAAAGTGCTGGGATTACAGGCTTGAGCCACCGCGCCCGGCCTAATTTTTTGTATTTTTAGTAGAGACAGGGTTTCACTATGTTGGCCAGGGTGGTCTTGAACTCCTGGCCTGGTTCGCCCGCCTTGGTTTCCCAAAGTGTTGGGATTCCAGGCGTGAGTCACCGCGCCCAGCCTGGTATCATTTTTTTATGTGCTACCACCTGAAGAACACGTCGTTGCTTTCCTATGATTTTTTTTTCTTTTCTCTTTTTTTTTTTTTTTTTTTTTGAGACGGGGTCTTGCTCTGTCCCCCAGGCTGAAGTGCAGTGGCTCAGGTGGTCCTTCCGTTTCAACCTCCACAGTAGTCGGTACTACAGGTGTGCGTCACCCTTTGGTGTCTGAGACCATGCCTTCTATGAGCAGCGGTGTGATCTTGTCACAGGACTCACCTTTTCTGTGGCTAAAGGCAGCGAATAACGAAGACGCACAGCACAGTGAAATCAAGAGGGGCTAAGGCCTCAGGTTCCACTTCTGATGCTGCAGCTTACCTGTGACCTTGGCAGGTTCCTAACCTTCCTAAACCACAGTGGCTAAAGATAGCCCTCTCTTAGCAGCTGCCAGGAGGTGTCCCAGAGATAAGCCAGGCAAGATTGGGCAACTGGAGCCCGATAGGTGCAAAGGCTCCTGTGGAAAAATGCCACCCGCCCACCTCCCTTCCAAAAAAGCAAAGAGAGAACCACTTCACAGCCATGAGGATGGCTCCTGTCCAAAACCAACCAACCAGCCAACCAACCTGGAAAATAACAAGTGTTGACCAAGACGTAGAGAAATTGGAATCCTTGTGTACCCTTGCTGAGAATGTAAAACGGTGCAGCTGCTGCGGGAAACAGTATGGCAGTTCCTCAAAAAATTAAAAATAGTATTACTATATCAGCAATTCCACTCCTGGGTATATCCCCAAAAGAACTGAAAGCAAGGCCGGGCGCAGTGGCTCACGCCTGTAATCCCAGCACTTTGGGAGGCCGAGGTGGGTGGATCACCTGAGGTTGAGAGTTTGAGACCAGCCTGACCAACATGGAGAAGCCCCATCTCTACTAAAAATACAGAATTAGCCGGGTGTGGTTGTGCACGCCTGTAACCCCAGCTACTTGGGAGGCTGAGGCAGGAGAATCGCTTGAACCTGGGAGACAGAGGTTGCAGTGAGCCAAGATTATGACATGGCACTCCAGCCTGGGCAATAAGAGTGAAACTCTGTCTCAAAAAAAAAAAAAAAAAAAAAAAAAAAAGAATTGAAAGCAGGTTCTAGAGCAGGTATTTGCCCATACATATTCATAGCAGCCATTATTCACAAGAGATAAAGAGTGAAAACAGCACAAGTGTTCTTAGCTAGAAGAATTAATAAACAAAACGTGGTCCGTCGTACAACCCCAATTTTTTTTTTTTTGAGATGGAGTCTGGCTCTGTCCCCTAGGCTGGAGTGCAGTGGTGTGACTTCAGCTCACTGTAACCTCTGTCTCCCGGGTTCAAGCGATTCTCCTGCCTCAGTCTCCTGAGTAGCTGGGATTACAGGCACCCACCACCACACCCAGCTAATTTTTAAATTTTTAGTAGTGACAGATTTTCACCATGTTGGCCAGGCTGGTCTCGAATGCCTGACCTCAGACGATCCACCCACCTAGGCCTCCCAAAGTGTGGGGATTATAGGTGTGAGCCACCATGCCCAGGCCACAGTATTTTTTTTTTTTTTTTTTTTGAGACAGTTTCGCTCTTGTTACCCAGGCTGCAGTGCAATGGCATGATCTCGGCTCACCGCAACCTCCGTCTCCTGGGTTCAAGCAATTCTGCTGCCTCAGCCTCCCGAGTAGCTGGGACTACAGGCGTGCACCACCATGGCCAGCTAACTTTTGTATTTTTAGTAGAGACGGCGTTTCACCGTGTTGACTAGGATGGTCTCAATCTCCTGACCTCGTGATCCACCCGCCTTGGCCTCCCAAAGTGCTGGGATTACAGGCTTGAGCCACCGCGCCCAGCCTTTTTTTTTTTTTTTTTTTTTTTTTTTGAGACAGGATCTCTGTCTGCCAGGCTGGAGTGCAGCAGTGATGTATATGATCATGGCTCACTACAGCCTCGACCTCCTGGGCTCAAGCAATCTTCCCATTTTAGTCTCCCAAATAGTTGGGACTACAGGCACATGCTACTACACCCAGCTGATTTTTTTTTTGTTGTTTTTGAGAGACGGAGTCTTGCTCCGTCTCTAGACTGGAGTGCAGTGGCACAATCTCAGCTCACTGCAACCTCCACCTCCCAGTTCAAGCAATTCTTCCACCTCAGCCTCTTGAGTAGCTGGGATTATAGGGGCGCACCACCATGCCCAGCTAATTTTTTTTGTATTTTTAATAGAGACGGGGTTTCACCATGTTGGCCAGGATGGTCTTGATCTCTTGACCCGTGATTTGCCCGCCTTGGCCTCCCAAAGTGCTGGGATTACAGGCATGAATTTTTTTTTTCTAGAGATGGGGGTCTCACTATATTACTAGGCTGGTTTGAAACTCCTGGGCTCAAATGATTCTCTTGCCTCAGCCTCGAAAAATGCTGGGATTATAGGCCTTAAAAAGGAAGAAAATTCTGACTGGATGCGGTGGCTCACACCTGTAATCTCAGCACTTTGGGAGGCCTAGGTGGGTGGATTACCTGAGATCAGGAGTTCCAGAACAGCCTGGCCAACATAGTGAAACACCATCTCTTCTAAAAATACAAAATTTAGCCAGTCGTGGTGGTGCATGCCTATAATCCCTGCTACTTGGAAGGCTGAAGCAGGAGAATCACTTGAACTTGGGAAGCAGAGGTTACAGTGAGCTGAGGTGGCGCCACTGCACTCCAGCCTGGACAACAAGAGCAAAACTTAGTCTCAAAAAAAAAAAAAAAAAAGGAAAGGAAATTCTGATACATGCTACAAGGTGGATGAAGATGTGTTTGTGAAATAAGCCAGAAACAGGCAGGGCCGGGCGCAGTGGCTAACGCCTGTAATCCCAGGACTTGGAGAGGCCAAGGTGGGCGGATCACGAGGTCAGGAGATCAAGACCATCTTGGCCACCATGGTGAAACCCTGTCTCTACTAAAAATACAAAAATTAGGGCCGGGCGCGGTGGCTCAAGCCTGTAATCCCAGCACTTTGGGAGGCCAAGGCGGGTGGATCACGAGGTTGAGAGATCGAAACCATCCTGGTCAACATGGTGAAACCCTGTCTCTACTAAAAATACAAAAAATTAGCTGGGCATGGTGGCGCGTGCCTGTAATCCCAGCTACTCAGGAGGCTGAGGCAGGAGAATTGCCTGAACCCAGGAGGCGGAGGTTGCGGTGAGCCGAGATCACGCCATTGCACTCCAGCCTGGGTAACAAGAGCGAAAACTCCGTCTCAAAAAAAAACAAAAATTAGTGGGCTGTGGTGGCACGTGCCCGTAATCCTAGCTACTAGGGAGCCTGAGGCAGGAGAATCATGTCAACCCAGGAGGCAGAGGTTGCAGTGAGCTGAGATTGCACCACTGTACTCCAGCCTGGTGACAGAGTGAGACTCCGTCTCAAAAAGCCAGACCCAAAAAGACAAACACTGTGTAATTCCACTTATATGAGGTCCCTAGAGTCATCAGATTAATAAAGGCAGAAAGTAGAATGGTGGGGGCTAGGGGCTGGGGAGGAGGATTCGGAG